TTTTTGTGTCATTTCGTTCATTTTAACTAGGCTGGTTATTGCGGCACTGCAACCCTCTAACTGAGTGAGTGATTTTAAAAAAAGGTTTTCATACCGCTTATCTGTCTTTACATTCTGAGGAATGTTGAAACGTTTTAACTTAAAAAAAGAGAAAGCCGTGTGGATCGCTGGTGTGTGTGTCTGGGCCTGGAAATTCACAATCACAACCTGTAAGTATGCTTTATTGGTTGTGAGTTATATTTAAAATAAACACGGCAATGTAACTTCACAGAAAAAGTCCAAACTTGATCCAGATGTTTTAGCCAACTATAGACCTATATCTAACCTTCCATTTCCAAGATCCTGGAGAAAGCAGTTGCTAAACAGCTGTGTGACTTTCTACAGAGCAATAGTTTATTTGAGGATTTTCAGTCAGGATTTAGAGCTCATCATAGCACAGAGACAGCACTGGCGAAAATTACTAACAACCTCCTAATTGCATCAGACAAAGGACTTGTCTCTGTACTGGTTTTATTAGATCTTAGTGCTGCATTTGATACCATTGACCATCAGATCCTATTGCAGATACTGGAACATTTCATTGGCATTAAAGGAACCGCTCTAAGCTGGTTTAACTCCTATTTATCAGATCGATTTCAGTTTGTACATGTTAACGATGAGTCCTCCATGCACACCAAAGTTAGTCATGGAGTTCCTCAAGGATCTGTCCTCGGACCAATCCTCTTCACTTTATATATGCTTCCTTTAGGCAATATTATCAGGAAACACTCCATAAACTTTCATTGTTGTGCAGATGATACTCAGTTATATCTATCGATCAAGCCAGATGAAACTCATCAGTTAGCTAAACTTCAAATGTGCCTTCAGGATGTTAAAACCTGGATGACCTGTAATTTTCTAATGTTAAACTCAGATAAAACTGAAGTTACTGTTCTGGGGCCTAAGCACCTCTGTGACACATTATCTAAAGATATAGTTTCTCTTGATGGCATCGCCCTGGCCTCCAGCACCACTGTGAGGAATCTTGGAGTTATCTTTGTCGTTTAAGTCTCACATTAAGGAAATTTCAAGGACCGCCTTTTTTCACCTACGTAATATTGTGAAAATCAGAAATATCCTGTCTAAAAATGATGCAGAAAAACTAGTCCATGCATTTGTTACTTCTAGGCTGGATTACTGCAATTCATTTTTAGACAGGATGTTCCTGATTTTCGCAATATTACATAGTTGAAAAAAGGCGGTCCTTGAAATTTAATTTCTGAAGTAGCCAATAGAACGAGCAAGGCATCATGCTGCAGTCCCTCTCCTGGTCTCTCAGCAGAGCATACACGCATACAGGGAGCAGAGCTAGCGGAGTACATCAGTGTAGATTACACAAGTTGACCATAACTACGCCCCAAAAACAGCTAGTTATAAACAAGCTAAATCTCTGGACTGTACCTAAAAATTTAGCAACTCCTTGTAAACTATATATTATAGCAACATTACCTTCACTGTCTGTACCTCTGTGTGTATATTGTGTAGGCTGCCTCCCTCCCCTCTCTCTATCCTTACATCCCTCTCTCTTTCTCTCTCTCTTTTTCTCTCTCTCTCTCTCTTTTTCTCTCTCTCTTTTTCTCTCTTTTTCTCTCTCTCTCTCTCCAACCGGTCGAGGCAGATGGCCGCCCACCCTGAGCCATGGTTCTGCTCGAGGTTTCTGCCTCTTAAAAGGAAGTTTTTCCTTGCCTCTGTCGCCTAGTGCTTGCTCTTGGTGGGAACTGTTGGGCTTCTGTAAATAGCATCACAGAGTACGGTCTAGACCTGCTCTTTTATGAAAAGCGTGTGTGATAACTGTTGTTGTGATTTGGCGCTATATAAATAAAATTGAATTGAATTGAATTAAACTCAGCTGCTTGTTGAGAAAAAACAGCTCCTCTCTACCAGCAGCAGCAGAGGGGGATGAGAAGGAACGACTGACTGACTGATGTCTTCTTTCTAAACTTGACTCAGTATTTTGATGTCAGGAATATAGTGTATTTTACATGGTCCATATTTTTCCAGTGAGATACAATTTAATATTTTTTACTTTGCTGCTGTAAACTTTACTTTTGTTGCTGCTCTGAAAACAGTCTCTAATTCATTTAATTTACTATTTATGAAGATTAAACATGAAAATTAACTTTAATTGTGTTTAGCCTCAGATGAAGATCTCTCAGATCTTCATCTTCAATTTCTCTTGTGGTACCTCGGATTCGACTAAATACCATGGGTGCCAGATCTTTTAGTTATGCTGCCCCCCGCCCATGGAACTCTCTTCCCCTTGATGTTCGCAATAGCGACTGCTTGTTGACTTTTAAAACGCGTCTTGAGACACATCTTCTTAGACAAGCTTTTTTATAACATGTTGTACTGAGTTTTTAATGCATTTTATCTGTATGCGGCTTGTTTGTTGTGTGTATTGTTTTATGTAGTGATCTGTATATTGTTTGTGAGGTAACCTTGGGTGAAAGGCGCCATTAAATAAAATGCATTATTATTATTATTATTATGATTCCCTCTTCAGGAGAAGACAAATCCTTTCATGTAGCCGATCTTGTTACAGACTGACTCTGCTCTGTGGGTGATAACAGATTTGTACATAAAGAGAAATTCAACAAAAAATTTACAGTAACAGTATCATAATTTATCAGCTTGCACTTTTCAACCACAACTTCAGCTCTGACTTGAAAATGAGAGAAACAGAATTTCACTTTATTCATGCGTAGTTTCATTGATACAGGGTTGCACATGTACAGTAGAAGAGGTATAAAATAACAGGCGCGAAACCAATGTCACTACCATAAAATCCAGTGGTGGATGTGATACTGGAAAGACTAAAATACCACAAAAATGAAGGCATCTCCAACTCCATCAGCCATAATTATCAGCTACAACTACACTTAGTGAATATCATTGGTTATATTTACACAAAAATAATTTTAAAAACATATTCAACGTAGTGTGAACCACACTTCAACCCATATTACATTTAAGGAACATCAGATCTAGGACACAAAGACAAAACAAAAACACACCTTATTTTGCTTTTCATGTGACAATCTACCCAGAAAGAAAAAAGATCAACGTCACCTTCACATTGAGAGATGAAAAGGCACTCACTGTGTTTTTACATGAAATGCTGACAGCAGAGCAGTCCAGAACCTGTTTGTCCCAGTTTAAGGTGTGACTCCAAAAATCCAGTTGTCAAGACACCATTTGCAGGACATCAGCTGAATCCAGCCAACCACAAACACAACAAAATACTGACAGCTCTACATCAACTGGTCTGCATACACTGTGGAGATGGCAGTATCAAGGTTCACTGTATTTACTAACCTCAACAAACAAAATGAAAGACTACTGTACATAAAACCCGACTTTGGCAGAGAAAGGCATTTGTGATGTTATTTACAGTTCAATGTCTGTTGTGGTTTTAAGGTAAGCATCCTAGATAAGTAGGAAGATTTCTGACCTCCATCCTAGATGACACTCAACAGGCTGAGCATCCAGTTGAGCAAATCAATTCACAAGTCACAACAATTAACTAACAAAAAAAACCAAAACACAACAGCTCAAAAAGGTGTTGGAACTTAATCTATAATTTATCATTTGTGTGTATTCCTTTATGTTTATGACAGTTAATGTTTGTTATCTCTCAAACTGCATTTCCTTGATGGCCTGTCCAGAGTAATAACTGACATACACACTGTGTATGCTACTACTTCCTGCTTGATTATGATTTATGGTTGGGACACAGACACCAAAGGCTCTGAAAGGATAATGAGTGATATGTTTTTTGCTGTAACGGTAAGGAGGCTTGAGTCAACCCTGAAAGGCAATTCTTCTGGCAGTATTCTTACAGTTTAGTTGTTAGCATTCATGACAACCAGACTTACCACCAAATCCAGGTGATTTAAACAGAATTATCACTATCAGAGGATTCAGGGGGTTTGACAATTTCAATTTGAATTGAAAGTCATTCCATCGACCAATACTGTACAAGCTGTCTTAGCAGTGTTGATTTATGAAGAGGCATTGAATGAAAAAATGAGGTAGCTATTGTAGAAATTCTGTTTCATACAGCTCTTCTCATAAAAAAATAGGTGTGTGTCTGTGAAGATTCTCAGTCATCCAGGTCAAGGTAGAAGCACTAAGTTAAAGGCAACTCGACAGCAAACCTGGGGCCTAGCAGTAGTCTATTCTAGGATAGGAACTTAGGGTAATATAATTAAGATGTGATGTGTGTGTATTTGACAGGGCACATTATACTTGTGTACAGTATAGCACAGAGAGTGGTTGGCTGTTGTACTCCTCTCATTTGAGCCCCATCGCAGATTGATCCATATTTTACCAATCCACTCACTTGACTGATGCTGGTGGTTGACTGGATGGAAAAGAGCTTATATTGGGGGCTATTGTGCAGTCAGAAGAGCAATCTCTGCACTGTGTTTTTTTAGCTGTTGTCTCAACAGGACCGTGTTTCCAGGATACAGAGCTCTTTCTCAATTCACTGGAGAATATAAGAAGCTCACCAGCAACTCTTAAGCATTAGCTATAAAGACATTTCTTACTAAATGACATTGGAGCAAACCTGACATACAGCAACCTGACATTGCTACTGTGGGTAGCAGAACTGTAGTCATAATAAAGTGTATTTTTGTTTAACATGTCTGAAGTCTTAATACACATTTTATTGCTATTTTGTTTTTTTTTGGCCAGTGAAACATTTCCCATCAAAGACGTCCGATAGCGATAACTTTTGAGGGATTTTCAGTCAATCGTTTTCATGGCACTCTGGTTTCTTTCCTTTTGTTGACTTTTTTAGACTTTTTTCTTGATTCCTTGATTTTCCCGGCACATTACATCAGAAGTCAGCTCTCACTTAACAAAAATTAAAAAAAAGGAATCAAAGAAAATACTCAAGTTTGGAATCATTGAAAATGTAGATAGAAACCACAACCATGTACTGATAACGTCTCTTAAACCTTTGGTAAACTGAACCCAGCCCTGTTTTTATTATACTCATCGGATGTCCATTTTTATTACACACTTCACAAAAACACTTCCTTTCTTTGTCTTCTCACCTCTGGAAAATTGATTAATAACTAACTTGTACATGCTGCCTGGCTGGGGGGAGTCGCTTTCAAGGGAGGTCTGAAGGAAGGGGGTGGGATTTTTTCGGTTGCACGCTTTCAAACTACACCAGCTTTATATAATGATCAAGGCAAAGAGGAAAAGAATGTACTGTCCAAATGCGGCTCATTGCTTACTCCTGTGCCATTATGTGTCCCTGATTTGGATGCTTCAAGAAAGGAATGGAAAATGGTCACAGAGGGCATTGTAACATCAGTCTGGGAGGACTTGGAGGGAGCTTCTTCAGGAGGTAATGTCCCTATAGGAAGTTGGTGGAGTTTTTTGGTCCATCAATCTGGAACTGGTAGGCACCATCAGAGGAGCTGAGAATGTTGCTGGAGGAGGAAGGCACAGAAGCCACAGGAGAGAATGCAGCTTCAGCCTAGGATGTGAAAATAGAATGGAATTTCTATTAGGTAAGTCACAGTAGAGACAGAAAATTGTGAAGAAGAGAGAGAGGGGGGCCATGCTACAAAAACGTCCCTCAATGGAATTGAACCAGGGACATCATATGGTATGCGTTTTAAGAACAAGACCGTTTCTAGGGCCTTATGAATCATGGACTTTAAAGCCAGAAGTCTGAGAATAAAATCATCAATTGTAACTTTATTCTCAGAACTCAAGTGTGACCCTTATTCTCTTCTGTACTATATGCATAATTGCTTGATACATCAAATATATTGATAATGATTCACTTTGTAATATTACTAATTGAATTGCTGAAATTGTCCTTATCCAACAGAGGATTACCCACTCTTTCTGATGACAAAATGGACTTAAATTGTAAAACACAGAATTCAGGACAGAGGTCACCCAAAAGAAAAAAAAGATTATTTCGAAAATCACGATTAACAAGTCTAATATGATATGGACTTAGCTCAGAAAGAGTAGCAGAAAAGATAACAAAAGGGAAGATTAAGGAGATTGGAGAGATTAATTTCATTGTCAGACTTGTAGTCCTCAGCCCCAACTGACACTGACTTAAGTGACATCACTTGAGGACATTTTTCACACAGCTCCCTTTGAAGACACAAAACACCTGTAAACACACACTGATGTGGAAAATTGGTGGAGTTCACCTAGGATATGTTAAGTCTTAAAAAATAGGTGCTTATAAATAGGTTTAAACACATTTTTCTTACTATAAAAGATCCATCCAAAAACTCGTTCAATATATTTACTTTACAATCACATTAGGAATGCAGGGCTCAACAACAACAAGTTCTAAAATGACCAGTGGGGAATCTCAGCAATTTAACCTCTGTGGGTTTGTTTGCTAAGATCATTTATACCACTGGTTTGTTGCTCCTGGCTTTTGTAACGTCGTTATGGTCGTTAGAGCCACCTGAGGCCAAGCCTGAACGACCATTGTTGGCATTTTCACCTGAGGCCAAGAGGTAATGCTCCTCCCCAGGTTAAAATTGAACCAGTCTGGTTTGTCTGTTTATAAAGCATAATGTATAAATTATCACCCAATTCCGTGTTACACTTTCTTAGCCAATCTCTTTCCAAATCATTAACACTAGTTTTACACTTTTTTTGGAATTCAGGGTCAAAAAATATCATTTATATGAAATTATGCCTGGGCATGCCATAAACTGGCAGTGGCTTCTTTACTGGATTAGTACCATTAGCGAGCATCAACAGACCCAAGTATGCCTGCTGAGGTATGGGATCCATCTTTGCCATACACATAATTCCTGTTCTTTGTCATATCGATAGTTACGTATTGTAAATCCAGATTCTATGGGTATAGGCGCAGCCCTCTTAGGCCATCGCTATTGTGTTTACCCTTACGCCTACATGCGTGGCATGCTTGTCTACGCCCACCGACAGCATGGGCCTCTCCCACGTCTGCACCTTGTATATACACACACACACACACACACACACACACACACACACAACGGTGAGACCTGGCCATCAGCTCCCATAATGCCTTTTCTTCAGCACTGAGAACCAAGGTCCAGTGAGGCCCACTGCTTAGAGGGCTGTGCCTATACTCGCCCTCTAAGGCCATTGCTATTGGGTTTAGAGGCGAAGCAGGATGAGTCAACGCCTCACTGGGCCCATACGGTACCACCAAGCACAGACCCACCTGCCCAGAGCCAACATAATATGCTATCAATACTACTTTGTGTTTCTGTTATATTTCAAAAAATAAAAATAAATTTATTTTTGTAAGATTTGCAATAATAATAATAATCTGCACAATTAAGCTAATCGCAATCGCGATGTCATAATGTGCGATTACATAACCACAAAATGCGTGTGATTTAATAAAATAGTAAAAGCATGTGTGACACTCTTCTGTGTGTGCAGTCTGCACTTTACAGTGCCTTGCGAAAGTATTCGGCCACATTGCAGGCTTCAAACATAAAGATATAAAACTGTAATTTTTTGTGAAGAACCAACAACAAGTGGGACACAATCATGAAGTGGAACGAAATTTATTGGATATTTCAAACGTTTTTAACAAATAAAAAACTGAAAAATTGGGCGTGCAAAATTATTCAGCCCCCTTAAGTTAATACTTTGTAGCGCCACCTTTTGCTGCGATTACAGCTGTACGTCGCTTGGGGTACGTCTCTATCAGTTTTGCACATCGAGAGACTGAAATTTTTGCCCATTCCTCCTTGCAAAACAGCTCGAGCTCAGTGAGGTTGGATGGAGAGCGTTTGTTTCCACAGATTCTCGATTGGATTCAGGTCTGGACTTTGACTTGGCCATTCTAACACCTGGATATGTTTATTTGGGAACCATTCCAGTGTAGATTTTGCTTTATGTTTTGGATCATTGTCTTGTTGGAAGACAAATCTCCGTCCCAGTCTCAGGTCTTTTGCAGACTCCATCAGGTTTTCTTCCAGAATGGTCCTGTGTTTGGCTCCATGCATCTTCCCATCAATTTTAACCATCTTCCCTGTCCCTGCTGAAGACAAGCAGGCCCAAACCATGATGCTGCCACCACCATGTTTGACAGTGGGGATGGTGTGTTCAGGGTGATGAGCTGTGTTGCCTTTACGCCAAACAGAACGTTTTGCATTGTTGCCAAAAAGTTCGATTTTGGTTTCATCTGACCAGAGCACCTTCTTCCACATGTTTGGTGTGTCTCCCAGGTGGCTTGTGGCAAACTTAAAACAAGACTTTTTATGGATATCTTTAAGAAATGGCTTTCTTCTTGCCACTCTTCCATAAAGGCCAGATTTGTGCAGTATACGACTGATTGTTGTCCTATGGACAGAGTCCCCACCTCAGCTGTAGATCTCTGCAGTTCATCCAGAGTGATCATGGGCCTCTTGGCTGCATCTCTGATCAGTCTTCTCCTTGTATGAGCTGAAAGTTTAGAGGGACGGCCGGGTCTTCGTAGATTTGCAGTGGTCTGATACTCCTTCAATTTCAATATTATCGCTTGCACAGTGCTCCTTGGTAGGTTTAAAGCTTGGGAAATCTTTTTGTATCCAAATCCAGCTTTAAACTTCTCCACAACAGTATCTGTTTCATGAACAGTGTGCGAGTAACTTTTAAGACAACAAAACCCACCTAAAAAAACAACCCACAAAAATGAATGGTTCCCACTGAGGTTAAATAGCCGAGTTTCCCTACCAGTCTCTTGGATGGGGGACAAAACATTTTTATGCTCATCTACTCAAGCACTAATTAAAAACACCAAAATGATGCTTTTTTAAGCAAATGCACATTTCTATTTCTATGCACTTGGTTAGAGTGTTAGTTTCCTGAGCAGCCCTTTTAAATCAGACCCAGGTTCGAATCCTACCTCCGGCAGGAGTGATAATTGCTTTGAACTTCTAACACCTGTCTGGTGTTCAGTTCCCACTGACTTTCAGTGGTTGTTTTTAAATTTGTATGTTGTTAATCTTTCTAAATGCAATCAATGTTTACATGGATATCAGTGCTTCCTTAAAGTAGTTGCTCTATGTATTTTATGAGACAACAGTGGACTGGACCTCAAAAAATATATATTTACAAGCTACACTGTGGTGTGCCAGGAATGTTTGGTCATTCAGCGCTGTCTGTTGGTGCTTTGGAGGCATTTCATGTCAATGAAAACCAGAGCAATAGAGAACATAGAACTTACCATGTCCAGTCCATTTACCTGCTACTTCCTTTTTCATGGCAAAACATCAAAATTCATTGCCACGCTATGGCCATGCATGTTCTCGGGCCCTGATAAATTAATTTAAAAAAAATTACCATCCTTTAAGGTTCCTTACTGAAGGTTTAATATAGTAGCCTCCACAAATACACAATATGATTAAGTTGCTTTAACAGATACAATTGAGTATGAATGTGCACTGAAAACTAAAACGTAAAAAGAAGGAAAGGAAATATGGTGAGTGGAGCAGAAGGTGCCACAGTTTGTGTCTGTGTGTGTGTTAGTGTGAGTGTGTGTTGAAATGTCCCTGCCACACCACGCACCACAAATCACTGGTAAATGTATAGTTCTATCATACAGTGACTTGGAACATACTGGGCTCAGTAATTTAACATCAATATAATATTTCTAGAATATTCTTAGTTTATATTTTTCTTTGTATGTGTGCATCTACCTGTGATATAGCAGTCAGCAGGGGGTCGCCAGATGAGGAAACCATATCCTCCATCTTGAACTCCTCCTTAACAGGGTCACTGGCTGCTGCTGGTGGAGGAGAGCTGTACATGACTGGAGCTGGAGCATAGCCCTACACACACACACACACACACACACACACGTTATTATTATATTTAGGCATTTCATTTATTTCCTGTTGAGAACTTCCTTTACCATTGTCCTGCTAAGTATGTAAGTGTGCACAAGTTTGCACACATTTGTATGTTCCTGGATTTTTCTTAATCACCATGTTCAACCATTTTTCATGTATCTACAGGCTACTAACTCATTTCCACTCAAAGCTGTATTGCACATATATAAATCTGATTCTATAGGAGTGGAACCAACTGAGCATGATGACTGGGTGTTTGCTGCATCACATCTAGCTGATATTGTCCCGCTGGTTTACTCCCTGCCTCCTGCCTCACAAAGGTCACAGGCCTTTCTACCCTGATCCTGAATCGGTGTTGTAGGTTTGCAAAACTAACTAAAATGAAAGAGTAAATGTCCTTAGTTTTCATGTATTTATTTCATAGGACCGACGCCTACATTTCGAGTGATTATGAAGCCTTGGGAACTGACGTTGCAGGGCAGTTGGTATGTCCGGACCGGCAGTTCAGCAGCGCTGTGATTAGCCACCTGTTGGTGAGCCGCATGAAGAGCTGGCACACTGCGTGTCGTGTGGCTGTCCTGCCACGATTGCTTTATCCATCAAGAGAACCTGGGGTCAGGGCGGCGTCTGGCCGAAGCATAGCAGGGGGTGACCACTGTTACGAGGAGAGCCCCATGTAACGTTAGGGGGAGGCTAACTTAGTCGGGGAGACCCAGGTAGGGATCAGCTGTGTAGTTGGGGGGATTGGTGGGATGTTTTTTAGTTGTGTTTAGTTCGGGTTGCAGGTAGTGAGTCACTGTCTTGGTGGTTTTCTTTTCCTTGTTTTGATGGTCTGCTTAGAGCTCATCCTGGTGTGGGATAAACTTGGGTTATCCCACACCAGGATGCACTGGATGAATGTGTCTGCTGGTCTTTGTTTTTTTTTGTTTTGTTTTTTTTTTTACAAAAAATAAACTAAACTAGCAAATCCATGTTAAAAACTAATTTAAACTAAACTGAAATGGAAAACAAAAAGTCAAAACGAAATAAAAATAAAATCTAATGACAAATCAAATACTATAATAACCTTGCCTTGCACGTGAAGCGCATCTTGGAGTGCCACAGTTGCTCATCAGATGCTGCACATCTGCCAACACGGTTCTGAATTGTCACACACTTCAGATACTGCAGGAAAGACTTAAATGTCACTTCCTGTGTCCCCTATGTGGTATTGCAACATGACATCATCAATGTGTTAAAGAGGTGGTATTATGCTTTTTGGCCTTTTCCCTCTCCTTTATTGATTTCTTTTTTGTGCATGTAACAGGTTTGCAAAGTGAAAAAGCCCAAAGTCCAGCCCAAAGGGAGTTCCCATCTCCAACAGAAAACTCTGCTCTGAAAACAGCTCATTTGTAATGCATGTATGCCGTGTCATATAACACTTGCCAAGCAGCTACTCCGACACGCCCTCAAAAACACCCTCTCCTCTCCCTTTCAAACACTAGCTAAACTCCAGGCAGTCAAAGGACAGAAAGTTGTTACTGTGATGTAGAGACAGAGCTCAGTTAAAACTTTATGGATGAAAGTTTGTTACAGATTAATAACTCAACAAGTTCCTGTGTCATGGCGAAGCGCTGAACTTCGCCGCCATGCCACCACCACACCATTTAACCAAAAACTCAAGTTTTACAACATGGCATCGTCAATGTGTTTAGGGTTTTCTGGGACAGTTTTGACGATTATACAACCTGCTATGAGTAGTTCATCACAATGTAGAAAGTGTAATTTCCTGTTGCCAGTAGGTGGCGCTATGACTTTGAGTGAAAGTGACGTGGATAGATGTGTTCAGGGTGGGACTACTACCATACATGTTAAATTTGGTGCAGATGTGAGAATGTACACTGAAGTTATAACAACTTCATGTTTTACATTTATTCATGTCACTAGTCATTATGTCAGAGGTCGCACGCCTCTGGAGCAACTAGGGGTTACGTGTCTTGCTCAGGGACACAATGGTGGATGGGTTACAGAGGGGGATTGAACCCGGGTCTCTCACACCAAGGGCATGTGTCTTATCCATTGACCCCCGTTTTGCAGGGGGGTCCCGACCCCCAGGTTAAGAACCACTGCTCTAGAAGGAGTTTGTTAAATACACACCCTTTAAAGGGGCTATATGTAAGTTTTTGATTTTAATAAATCAAATTGTCATTGCCTTATTGTCAGTGGGCTCAAAACTCACTTAAAAATGAAGCACACGCCTGTTTTCTTGTTGCCTGCATCAGTCACTATTCTGCTTTTAATGTGAGGACACCGGGTCAGATTCAGCCCTGTGCGCGCTCCCGAGCCTCTCACGCTACAGCGACAACACGGTAGCTAACGACATGCAGTCTACTAACACCATAAAAATAACCGGCTCACAGTAAAACACGGGCTCCATGTAAGGCCACAAAACAACAATAAAGGTTTATGTGCTGAAGCCCATCAGACCAAACAGGTTCAGATGATGTCGAGCAAGAACAAAGTGAGCATTAGTAAAGCTGGAGAAACACAGAGAAAGTCACGTTAGCTCGCCGGCTAACACCGAGCAGTTGCTAATGTTATCCGATCACTTTCCACATTACTTCACCAACTAACGCGACCGTATTACTTTCCTGTGTACCACAGATATTATGTCAAAGTGTCGAAGCCTGCAAGAAATGATGTAACGGTAAAAAGCAAATGTGGAACGATTTGTTTACTATCCCATAGTGATGCAGCCTGGAACAGCCAGCTAACGCTACATTAGCTCGGACCTGCCGCTGTTTGCTTCGTAACGTTCAATTTAGATTTATTGCCTTTTACCAATACTCAGGTACACATCTTCTCCACCTCTCAGTCGCTGTAACTAACATGACCCACATAATATACAACACAGAGGAAGAGCCATCCACTGTCACTACAGTAAATTTACTTACTGCGATCTAACTGTTATAAAGTGTGACACAATCTCGTTATAAGGTCTCTCCCTCTCTCTCTCTCTCTCTCCCTCTCTCTCTCTCTCTCCTTCACCCCAACCGGTCGAGGCAGACGGCCGCCCACCCTGAAAGTATATTTCAGAAATTACGGTACAGTTTAAGGTCAGAATAGTTTCTTCTGTCTATACTATGTACTATGTGGGTCAGTCAGCTCTTTGTCAGGGAATGGAGACACTTTTCAAAGCTTCAAGTCTTCCTTGATCTGAAGCAGCTAAAAGGTCAAAGGTCATATACTGAAATGGTCAGTTTCCTAAAAAGAGTTGAAGAGATGGATCGTACCATTGGAACTTCAGGTCCCGGGGGATACTGGCCTGGCGGTGGACCGTTCCATTGTGGAGGCTGGGCAGGGGGGTAGGCTGGACCAGCAAGAGGGAAAACAGGATTCTGGGGTGGGTAGGCTGGGTTAAAACCCTGCAGAGGGAGATAATCAGGAGTCAGAGTACAGTAAATACTGAGGTAGGAAGCAGGAAATCTGCTAAGTCAAGGAAAACACAAGGCACTAGCTAAAAAGATCAGCCTTGAATGAAACTTGACTCCAACTAACAGCTTTGGGTCCAGTGGTGTAAGCATGATAAGGATGGGTTTATCCATATTCAAGAGAGGAGGCTTGCAGTGTGATACTAACTGGGGAGGGTGGGGGACCATTCCACTGTCCTGGGCCAGTGGTCGGAGGGGGAGGGTGGACTGTAGGACCCTATATAGGAACACACATTAAACATACAGACATAGACACAAGAAAAAAAAACGCTTGTTTTAGATTATGTTACACAATCCATTCACCAATAATTCTCCATTTATTAGACAAACCCAGTAAATACAGCAATAAGTTGCGTAATGACATTCACACATATTTACTCTGTATAGATATGTAATCAATGTGAAATGAAATGTATGTACCATGCTAGGGTCGAGGCCATGGTAGTACATCTGCAACCATAGAAAAACACAGTTCATTCTTTAATTTAGTAACATTAAATCAATACCAGATTCACTTTGAGACATTAATATAACACTAATACTGTTTTTATAATTATATAAAGATATGTTTGTGAACAACATCCAGAAATACACATAAAGTGAAATCAGTATCTTACCACTCCTGGTTGTCCGGGAGTGGTGTACGGAGGAGAAGGTCCAACAGGACCACTGTGAAGAGGATGGACTGCATCTGGGGTAGTCTGGTGAGAGAGAGATGAGGCAAGTCACTGTTTTGGTGGCTGCAACTAATAATTATTTTCATTACTGACTGTTGATTATTTACGTCTGTTGTAAAGCTGTGTGTAGGTCTGAACAGTTAATCAAACTTTTATTGAAATTGCATTATGGCCTATTGCAATTTTCAAATTACAGGAGGCGCAATATTTGTGAAAGGTTATATTTATATTTGTGTCAAAATACCATTTTGAATTAAATATTGTCGTGCTGCAGAGATATCCAGGCCTACACATCATATTCTAGACTTAAGAAAACATCTTTGTTCGTTACAGATCCCCGCAAAACCCACACCATAATCATTTAAATATGTTTTCAATGAAAATGAGAATAATGATGTAAAAATGATCATTCTCCCAAGTATTGCAAAACATGTCGCAATTGCGAATAATCGCAATTATTTATTCAAAATCATTCAGCCCTATTTCACAGTGAAACATGGTATGGTATTTTAGCATAATTCAGTGCTTGGTTGAATTTTGGTCGATACCTATATTGTTTTTGGGGTAAAGGCATTTAGTACACAGATACCAAACAAGCAAGACAATATGTTTATATGGACTGGCATTTCAGTCAACTCATGCAAATAGTCTGGGACTGGGACACACTCCGGGCCAGCTCTGATGTCAGTGCTTTTACAGAAGTTACCCTGGGTCTCATTGGCTCACTGGTGGATGCTCACATGGATAAGACCTGCCCAAATCATAAAACCATCCATTACGCACTGAAGGGCTATAATCTTGCATGCAACTTAGGGCTTTCTTCCAGAACGTGGAGGAGTGCAAGACAGCCTCCTATGACGTGCAAAGAACTGTGAAGGAGGCTAAGACGTGATATAGGAACAAACTAGAGCCCCCATTTCCAGCAGGCACTCGTGCTTCTGGCATGTGGCAGGAGCTATGAACAATAACGAACTACAAAGGGGAAAACCCCTTCATGGTGAACACTGATGCTTTAAGGCCAACAATGCTAGTGCTAGCCTACAGGCCCACCAACAGAAGTGAGCGCCCCCCACACAGAGGAATGAGTGATCACAGTCTCAGTGCATAACATGAGGAGGGGTTTATAAAGAGTGTAAACACCCGGAAGGCAGTACAACCAGACTGACCGTACTGTAGGCCTGGACATTGCACCTGTGCCCAACACGGCTCAAACAGCATGTCTGAATGACTACCATCCAGTGGTGCTCACCTCCGTGGTCATAAAGTGCTTTTGCAGAGTGGTTGGTAAAGGACCACATCTTCTCCTCCATACCCAGCACCTTAGACCCCTTCAATTTGCGTACCAATCTGATGACACCATAACCCACATCCTGCACATGGCCCTCACCCACTTGGACAACTGAAAGGGAAAATATGCGAGAAAGCTGATTTACTGATTACAGTGTAGTGATACCGCCTGGCTAAAAATTACCCTCACCCAGGAAGATGGGAAGTGAGTAGTCTGCTACATCAAAGAACGAGGTGAGGGTTCTTTGGAAGAGATCAAACAACTTTGCTGTGCCCAGAAAATTAAACATTTGAAAAATGACTTGCTCTACAAATAACTTCTGACTGACTTCTTAATCACTCAGACACTTTAAAACTGTCAGTTTTAACACTATAGAGACTCTATACACCATCCTATTGATCCAGGTAGTCATGAAACAGCACTTAACAAACTTAGATGTGACCACAAAGACAATATGAACTGACGAACCAACATACACAACAGAAGATTTTTGCTTTGCATGACTTATAAGACCCAATCACTGTGCCAAACGTGAGCGTCTGTGCCATTGTTTCTAAAGTCCTCCGTTTTGCCCATCCTGTACTTAAACGCTATCTGGAGTTTAAAACAAAAAACGGGGTCAGCAGCATTTTCAAACTTCTTCGTTTTAGGTCTTTATTTTAGCCGTTTTAGTCTGGACAGGAGGTGCAAACGTAGCAGAAGGTCTCTTTTTTTAATACAAAAGGCAATAATTTGAGTGGGCCTGAGTCAAACCTTTTGCTCCACAAATCTTATATCAATTTAAATGTAAACTTGGTTAACAATTTAGCTAACCTTAGGTGGGATATAAGGTGATGCAGTTTAGTTAAAATCCAGTGTTGGGTTTCTAGACCTGCTCTTTTATGAAAAGTGCTCTGAGATTGTTGTGATTTGGCGCTCTATAAATAAAATTTAATTGAATTTTTTTGCTTAGATTTTTTAAAATGGTAACAAGAACTGAACACTGAACTGACTTATTAGCCATTGACTGTAACTTTCTCATTTGTCTGTAAGGCCATTTGCCTTTTCAACAGCTAGCTAGCTGACGCTAAGGCTAAGTGACGTAAGAGAGAAGTAAGACATGCTGACATTACACATTGTTGTAAGAGATAGCTTACAACAATAACAATAAAAAGGAAGTTTTTCCTTGCCTCTGTCGCCTAGTGCTTGCTCTTGGTGGGAACTGTTGGGCTTCTGTAAATAACATCATAGAGTACGGTCTAGACCTGCTCTTTTATGAAAAGCGCTGTGAGATAACTGTTGTTGTGATTTGGTGCTATATAAATAAAATTTAATTGAATTGTAAGTGCTGCCCTGAAAAAGCTGTTCGAAACCAATGTTCTTAGAAGATGCCTGGACTCTAAAGATATGCCTTCTGAGACTCCTGTCTGTTATGGCAGTGAGGCAACTGCCTTCTATTTCGACAGAGCCATTATATGTGAACTGTGCCTTTCATAAATGAATCCAGTTTTACCATGTGACCATACTTCCATCCAATGTATGAGAAGATTATGTTTGATAACATAATAGTATTTAGGAACGTTATGCGGAGGAATGTTTTATGATGTGATTTTCCCTTTTTTGGTTCTGTTGTGAAATTATTGAAAATTACAATTTTATAACTGCCTACATTATAATTATTTGTTCGGCCAAAGTGAGAAAAGGAGCAATATGGTTAATGTGCCTAAATTATGTTATTGGAAACAAATTACAATGAAGACAAACGGACAGAGAAATCTTAACAGTAAGGCACAAAATCTCTGTCCACACCCTGAGAGTCTTAGATAAAAACCACAAACTGTCTTTGTCTCACTCCCTTTCGCTCCTCTCTTCACATCAACTTTTCTGTGCTCTTCACTTCAATATCTTACGTCTTAGCTTGCTCTGTCTGTTAGATCCGCACCTGTAGCGTTGCAGCAGTGGTGGCTTTCTTCTTGAAAATCTTCTTCCGACAGCAGCAGCAAATCCCAGCAGGGATTCCCAGCAATAAGAGCAGAGCCATGAGAGGGTTTCCTTCTGAGTATTCATGATAGTCTGCAGTGGAAAAAAGAGGCGGGGGGGGGGGGGGGGGCACAGGTTATTTGCCTTATATCTTTAAGGCAAGTACAGTTTATTTGTAAAGCACATTTTAACAACAAGGCAATTCAAAGTGCTTTACATAAAACATAATGCAACATACAGCAGATAAAAATTAATTTAAGTTCTATTAAAAAAGAGTTAAAAAGAAAATAAAGGAGTGTAAAAATTGCATTGGTGTAAGATATTAATCAAAAGCCTCAAATGTGATTTAATCACACACAGGCAGTGGCAAAAAGAAAAGTCTTCAGCTATGATTTAAAAGAGCAGAGTACCACCAGAGTATTCTGGGAGTTTGTTCCAGATATATGGAGCATATAAACTGATCGCTCCTTCTCCATGTTTAGTTTTGACTCTGGGGACAGAAAGCAGACCTGATCCCAGACACAACGTAGTTCACAACGTAGCAGAAGATCAAAAATGTATTTTGGCCCTAAACCACATGTGTCAAACTCAAGGCCCTGGGCCAAAACCGGCCAGCCACGTAATTTTATGTGGCCCATGAAAGCTTTATAGATTCATGAAAATAAAAGTCTATGCTGCCATAAACTACGTCTCCCACAATGCATGTCGATTTTGTGACCCGAGAAGTGACGGCATCCCACCACTAGATTGCAATGTTTCCACACCCACTACGGTAGTTTTCCGACAAGTGGAGATGAGAAATGTATACAAATAATAATAAATGTCCAAGATGAGAAAAATTGATGCAGAAGGAAGGCAATTTCATGAATGGTGGGAAAATGAATACATATTTGGGCTTCAAGGAGAAAAACCGGTAGGCTAGGCCTATGTCTTTTGTGTCATGAGGCAGTATCAGTGATGAAGGATCAACGTTAGTTAAGGCCTGTGCAGACTACAAGACCTTCAGCATTGCCCGATGGCCGTGCTGCTCACACTACATGACTTGCCGTCTTGTGACGTCTCGTTGTGGCACTCACACTACGTGACTGATCGGTGACAGGGGGTCACACTACACGGACAATGTCTCCCGCTGGTCTCCAAACCACGTTTTGTCAAGAAAACACAGGTGAAATGTGAAACGGGAAATGATGCAAACCTACAGACAAAACAGCTGTTGTTTGTTATTATCCATGCATACAGTATTTGTATACTGTTCTGTACTTCTTTATGTACTCCTATGTACACTTTATTCCTCTTTTTGCAATAAAGTTTTAAGGAGGAAAAAATTCAGATTATTCCAACACCACTCACATCTCCCTTCGCAAATGCAGTGGAGAAGCTATGGTGACCGACACGGTGTCGGCTCACGTGATAAAAAATTGTTGTTTATTACAATTATTTGTCCACATTTCATGTCTCTTCTTACTTCCAATAAAACAGTCAACTACTCCTCCTACTACTTCTTGTATGTATTCAACATAGTGACGAAACAAGCTATTTGTCCATTTGGGCTACTATAGGAACATGGCGACTTCCATGTAAGAGGACCTGCAGTGTATGTAGATAGAAATGACTCTAAGGTAATAAAAACATAACTGTTCATTATGTAAGGTCTTTATACCCCACTTATTGTATATACAGTTATGTATATTATATTGCATTTTTGTCAATAGATCCTCCTAAACAGGCCCTGCAATGGACTAGCGACCTGTCCAGGGTGTACCCCACCTTTCGCCCGATGTAAACTGAGATTAGCTCCAGCCCCCTGCGACCCTGTGTGATAAGCGGTTGACGATGGATGGATGGTTTGATCCTCCTAAACATTATACACTGAACCTATTAGAAAGATTTATAGAAAAAAAGCTGTGTTTTTTTGCTTATTTGCATATTGACTTGTTTATTGTTTAAAATGCTGATTATTGTAAATCACTGTGTTTTTATGTTCATCTTTTTGTTGTATTTTATCCTGCTGCTGCATCCTGCTCAAATACTCCTGGTCTACTGTCATTCATCGCTAGATTGTTCTGACTACTTAGTGGCAAGAACTCTAGGCCAAAGACACTTTGCTAATAGATTCCTCTTGTGTTTTTGCCCCGGGGTTTATTAACGTTGTCTCTGTGCTCTAGAGCTGAAATTATTGTTATTGCTCTCATTATTAGTACTATTATTCATTTTCATTGATGTCTGTACCACTACCACATTTACTTTCACTTGCTTTTCTTTGTGGATATTGTGTAAGGCTGCTGTTTCTCCAATATTCTAGTGTCCAGTTTTGGTGAGCCTGTGCAAATTGTAGACTCAGTTTCCTGTTCGTAGCTGACAGGAGTGGCACCCGGTGTGGTCTTCTGCTGCTGTAGACCATCTACTTCAAAGTTCAACGTGTTATGCGTTCAGAGATGGTGTTCTGCACACCTTGGTAGTAACAAGTGGTTATTTGAGTAACTGTTACCATTCTGTCATCTGGAACCAGTCTGCCCATTCTCCTCTGACATAAACAAGGCATTTTCGTCTGCAGTACTGCTGCTCAATGGATCTTTTCTCATTTTCTGACCATTATCTGCAAACCCTAGAGATGACTGTTCGTGAAAATACCAGTAGATCAGGATCAGAAATACTTCATTGATCCCCGAGGGGAAATTCTGTAGATCAGCAGTTTCTGAAATACTCAGACCAGACCGTCAGCAACCATGCCACGTTCTAAGTCACTTAAATTCCCTTTCTTGTGTACACACACACACACACACACACAACATTGATTTTTAGAGGCATTGCAATGTGGACTTGGACGATTATAAATCGATTCAAGTCCACAATCAAATGTCAATAGTCGATTATCTAGAGGTTAATTGATAACGTAATGTTGACGGAACGAAAAAGGCGGAAGTGCAGCTCCAGAAAGATCTGTGGTGAGCACACAACGGAGACGCGTGGTTCTCCTTGTTCGTAAGGACAGGCAGCTGTTGACTGAATGACTGTTGCTACTAAACTTTAACATGATCAACAAAATCAGTGTGCAACTTACTGATTTTCACTGGCCCACTGTGCAGTACGGTAGCACTTCGCTAGCATCTTCTCCTCATTCTTCAAAAGAAAGCTAACGTTACATGACAGGCGGCAGTAGGTGACGGTGAATGCAGCAGAGCAGAGGAAAACATGAGCGCTACGTTTCAGTCTGGCTATAAATGTATAGTGTATTGAAGTGTATATGTAAGGTGCTTATGTAGACACATCCTGGAAGTTTTGTGTTGATTGGACAAACAATTTGTAGTTTGTAGCCTGATTAGCGTTTTATCACCTGCAGTTTGTTTGCATTTATAGCACTCCCTGGTGTTCAATTTGATTGAAACTTTCAGGGTGTGTGTCAGTTACTTATAAGGACATATCCTGGATTGATTGGAGAATGAATCTGTGATTTATAGGGAAATTTGTGTAATTCTAAGCACCTTTCTTGCGCTTGTAGTGCCCCCTAGTGGCATGTGTACATCAAGCTGTGTGATGATTGGCCCTACAGTTGCTGACTTGTGTTCATTTATGTCCAGAGCCACCCCCCTTTCGAAGTTCATTGGTCCTTGAAAAGTAATTGAGATATTGACATATTTCTACGGAAGCACATGCACACAATTTCCAGTTATAAGTTTCATGTTAGTACCTCATTCCAGCTTGGGAATTTGAGCTGGCGCGGGAGACAACAAAGAAAAATTAGAATGGGCATTCACTAAAGTAAATGCGTGAGAGCTGTCAGCTGTGACTGCTACCAAAGCTGATGCAAAGTAGTGCTCCATCAGCAATTTAAAATCCTTCAGCTCTACCTACAGGTAAAATGCCACACTAATTCTGTAAATATTAAAGCAGCAATCAGCGTTGGACGGGCCCTCGCATGTGAAGTGCGTCAGATAGTGTTGCTCTGAATTGTGCACTTTGGAAGCTGCATGAAATAATTAAAAGTCACTTCCTATGTCCTTTGTGGTGCAAAGGAGCACCCAGTAATGATATGTTATGTCCTAGTACATCATGTTGAGAAAATTTATTTTAATCTCGTATCACACAAGCCTCACTTCCTGTTGCCAGTAGGCTATGACTATAACTGAATTTTGGCATGGAGATGTGTTGAGGGCAGGACCATTATCAGTCATGTACACTTTAGTTTACTTCCTGTTTTGTGGCGAATCATTGGTATTCCACTCCACGCCACGGACTGCCCCAGTCGACCGAAACTCATTTGTACAACGTGTACAATGATGAGATAAGGCTGCACAGCAAAACTTTTAAGTCACCCAGACTATATCTCTAGGAGTTTGTTCCTGTTGGTTTTTGACCCTCCTGGCACGTGTTCAAAATTTAGTTTTGAACACGCGCAAAATTTAGTTTTCAAGAACGTTAAGGTCATCAAAAATTTGCACTTTTGCACGTGCAGAAATACTTCTTCGGTTCAGTATTGATTACTTCATTTAGAAAGACTAACAGACACATTTAAAACCGACCACTGCAAGTTGGTGGGAACTGAACTGCACACAGGTGTTATTACTGCTGCCGGAGGTGGGATTTGATCTTGGGTCTTAACAAAAAGAGATGCTAGGAAACCAGCGCTGTAATCAAGAGAGCTATAAAAAGGAGATATCTGATGAAGCCACAATTTGATCGTTTGTTGATGGTAAAGTGCATTTGCTTAAAAAAAGCTTTTCAGCTACCATTTTGGTGTTTTAAGTTAGGAGACATCTTTAGTTTGTCATCATCTTTCTTTCAAACAGGTGTTTAAAGTTGAAACTGCCGGCTGCAGGATTCAAACTCACAACTGGAACAAAAGGTGCTGCTCTAGAGACTGAAGTCTAACTATAACACCAGCCAGCCTGCATGTACTGAGACAATTTGATGGTTTGTTGATACAAAAAGTATTTGCTTAAAAAAAAGCTTTTCAGCTGTCATTTGGTCTTTTTAGTTGGTGCCAAACAGGGAGTAAGATAGAGCACGTTAAAGACTCAGTGACAGGGGGAGACCTCGTGCTGCAGCTACAACAGGAGTGAATGAGAGACGACTGAGACTTTCCAATTAATTAA